ATTCACCAGAGATAGTGGGGAACATAACAGGCTGACTGACTGAAATACACTGCTGAGGGGAGTAGCGGGCGAGACAGGAGAGGTCTGCCGCGCCATGTTGATTGCTCCACAGCCTGCGGGGATCGAACCAGCACTGCAGAGGCTGCGGACAGCCTCACAGCACTGCGCTCAACCACCTGTGCCACCAGGGGAGGCCCTCATGTGTTAATTTTTAATGATATACCTGAAAAATATAATTCAAAAAAAGAATGACCTAGCTGCACCATTTTGGTTCATGTACAGTTAGTTACATTGCAAAGTCTAAGTGAATATCTTGCTATTTTATTTAAGTGGTCTATTGTTTGAGCATTTTTTTTTCAGTTTTAAAAATATTCCTGGAAAAAACATGTGTGCACAAATGCACAACTTAGAGGAAACTCATGGACTCCTGGACAAAGTTGTTTCCCTCCCACCCCATCAAGAAAATAAGATGAAGTTTCAATGCTAGGATGCTGGTACAATGAAGCATATAGATCTAGCCTTCTTGGAGTTGTGAAACAGGAAATTTCACTGATAATGAATGTAAATTAATTAGAAATAAATGGATCTACTCCCATAGAGCTTCTCATTAAAAAAAAAGAAAACTCTTATAGGTTTCCCCACTAGCCAAAAGTAGAGCCTTCCTGTTTGGGAATGTGGTCATATAAAAAAAATTCCATATAAATTAATGGTAATAATGTTCCCAACCTCCCCCTACCACACACACACCAATAACCTATCAGACCATAACAGTTCACATAAGAATGTTCTACATTTTGACAGCAGAAGAGACCTACATGCCAAGGACTAAGCCAGGGTGCTGCAGCTCCAAAGGTCAGCATAAGTTCCACCTACCTTGGAAGAAGTCACTATGCAGGGTAGGTAACCAAGCAGGTGACAGTGATAGAGTTTGGAAAATGCTGGAGTACAGAGCTATGTGAGAGGGTAGCACCTGATAAAGTGGGAGATAATGGGCGGGGTCAGAGTTGGTGGTCTAGGTGAGTGGACTTCTCACTAACCTCCTGATGGATGCTGGTGAAGAACTAAAGTGAGGTGGCAGTTGGTGAGCAAGGTTGCTTCTGGAGGAATACATATGTACAAAGGCTTGGGAAAGACAACAAGCCCGAACTCTTGAGGGAGCTAAATGGGAACTAGTTCATTCAATAAGCAAATATTTATTGAACCCCTGCTAAGACCATATATTCTAGTTGCTTGGGATCTAGCTATGAGAAAGCTTGCATACTAACTTGGGGAGGCATAGAAAGTGGGGGAAAGAATAAACAAATCTATAATCTCGGAGTGACAGTGCCATATAAGAAAAAAATAAAGGGTTAATATTTGAGTAGGGACTAAAATGAAACAAGGAGTGAGTCTTGCATGAACTCATTCAGGGCAAGGAGTACTTCAGGCAGAGTAGATAGCAGGTACAAAGGTCCTGAGGCATAATACTGCATGGCATGTGTGAAGAGCAAACAGCAAAGAAGCTTGAATGGTTGAAGCAGCATGGAAGGAAATGGAGTCAGAGAGAAAGAGCTGGTGGCTGGTCATATAGGACTTTGTCTTTTGTGTTAGGGACATTAGATGTTCAGTACAATTGGCCCATAGAGTCTGAAAAGGGAGATGAAGATAGAGTAGTGCATTGAGGTCAGGTCAGAGAGAACCTTGTGGATAACATTGAAAATACTTGGGCTTCATAACAATGGCTGTGGGGTACTGAACCACAAGGGGTACCAGAGGTGAGCAGGGAAGTGGCCACGTGTAGAAATCTCCACAAGGCCAAGCACCAACTGCCTTCAGCAAAGGTCCCAACTCAGTCCACCCAGCCTGAGAAGGGTAACCATCCCAGACCCCATTTGATGGCTCCCCAGTTTGGTGACTCTGTGGGTGCCATTCCCTTGCATTTTTCCATCTTCACCTTTCTTTGCTTGTCAAATTCCCACTCACTTCTGAGACTCTTCTGGCCTCTATCCTCCATGCTATCTTCCCCGCCCCCCAGGCTAGCTTGCATAGGCCCCTGTTACGGGGCCTGTTGCCATGGCTCACAGGCCTCCACCAGAGCCTGTGTTCTTACAGGGCCGGGGTCATGTCTGCTTCATTTCTGTACCACACACAGCACGGGTGCTGGCACGAGCTCACCAGGGTGCTTCCTCCATTTCCCAAATGAAGGGGTAGCAGCCTCAGCTGTCTCCATGAGAGGGAAGGCTCTGTGCAGTGCCCGCCCCTCACTCTGCCATCTCTCATTTCTGCAATGCGATTTTTGAAGCCTACCCTTTCTCTCTGTCCATTTTCTTCACCCTAAAGGCATATAGTTCAGACGAGATTCATTGAGTGCTGAACTCTTTAGATCTTCCTCTATCTCAAGGAAGAAAAAAAGAAAGCCTCTCCTTATTGCTTTTCATCCTGTCATTAATTTACTTTTCAAAAGACACCTTGTCAAGCTGAAGATTATATCTTTAAACCATGTTTTTACATCCACTACCTATAAAACTGTAGATTATAGATCTGCTTAAAGGACCTGAGGGAGAATACGTTTGATAGCTTTATGCCTTTTGCTTTGTGAGAGCCAGTCATTCTGCTGCTGCCGCCGGAGCTGCCACGGCAGCTGTATTTTTATTTCTAAAACTGCTAGGGTTGCAGCATTCTCAGAGGAGTGGGGCAGACACTGGCCTTGGCACCACTCAGGTGACAGGAAGGTGGCACTGTACCTTCAGCTGCTGGATCTGGCTCACAGGTGATCCAGGTAACTGCTTCATCCCCCTGTATGATCTGCAGCCTAGATTAGGACTTGCCTCCTCAGGAGCTTCTTTATCTCCGGTTTCTGCCTCTCCCTGGCCCCAGGCTTCTTCCCACAGGTCCTGGCAGCCAGTGCTTTGTGGAGCAAAGGCAGGGGAGTGTGTGCTTGATGCACTCACCAGCTCTGTGACCCACAGGGTCACTGAGACTCGGTTTCCTTAACTGTAAAATGGGACTCATAAAAGAGGGCCTTGATCCAGTAGATAAAGAGCACAGATAGACCCTACTGTTGCTCGCCACTTGTTTTGTCACATACCGCATTCCGTAAAATGGAAGGACGCCGAGGTGTGGGTTCAGCGTCTGCTGAAGGGCTCTCATCCATGACTGCATTGGAATTGCCTGAGGAGCTTTTAGAGCTACTGATATCTGCTTCCCACCCCCGCAGATTCAAATATAATTGGTCTGACATGCAGTCGCTGGACATCAGGGTTTTTAAAACTCCCCAGGTGATTCTAATGTGCAACCGAGGCTGAGAACTATGGCTTTTCGATCAAGCTTGAATGTCTCTGTAAATGGCCCACTTGGCCTGGCCAATCTGGCCTTTCTGCACTTTCTAGCATGTAACTATCACTCCCCAGTAAATAATGAATAGAAATTCATTATCAGTGCAAATTAACTTCAAAGTAAAATGTAAAGATAGGATGAGAAGCCATGGGGAAATTTCTTTTTTCTTTCAGGTACAAGATCTAAAGAGTTCAGAAATAAATTTCTAAATTCTAAGCTTTAATTATCAATAATAACAATAATGTCAATATTGTCAATAATCAAGAACAAAATAATTTTTTTATGTGATGGATACACTTTCTTTCCTAGTGCCCACCCCCAGTACATACACACCTACACATATTCCTGATATTTTTCTCATCTTCAAACTTTGTTATATGCTGAATTTCTGCCTTCACGCTCTCTTTGCTATCTGCCTAGTTCAACAATCCTTCAAGACTTGGGGTAAGACGCCTTTAGCACTTATTTTGTGTGCCATATATTTTGGCATTAATTTCCAATGGTCATACGCTCCCTTCTAATTGTTTCATGAGCATACAAGTCTTACTGTTACTCTAAACAGACCGAGTATTCTAGAAGGCTAGAGAGCACTGCTATATATATGTTAACTGACAGGCATTTCTTATACCTATGATCCACTGGAGATGCAGATTCAGCCTTCAAGGAGCTTATAGGCTATAGAAGAAAAGGTGAACAGAAAATTCAGTGCAACACAACTGAGCCATGACTGGGGTGCTGTGGGAATACTGAAGGGGCATGTGTGTTGGTTGCCCCATAGGTGGGTCAGGTACACTGAACATCACTGGTCAGCCCATCCAAAGCCATGTGCCATCTGGGAGACTCACTAAATGGACCACACCTTTGAACTCTTGAATTCAGAACCTTACTTTATCCACAGATTTTTTTTTAGGTCTCTTCCTATAGAAAGCACTGTCTGGGGGCCTCTGGGGATACAGTGCTGAATAAATAAATCTGATCCCTGCCCTCAAGATTACTCTCTATGGGAAAACAAGACAAAAATAATCACAAGAGATATGAGACCCAATATATAATTACTAACATGAAAAACACTATCAGGAAAATGAATAGTGTATTACTATAAGATACTAATTGAGAGAAATATAATATTTGTGCTAAGAACATAAAAACAAAAGAGACTGAAGGAATACAAGAAAATGTTAAGTCCAAATGAAGGAAAATTGAATTAACGCAAGTCAATCTTTAATTTTTTTTATTATTCCATTGTGTATGTTTATCCTACCAGTTAATAATTTTTCCATGAATGAACAAATATTATTATCCAAGAGCTGAAATAATTCTCTTTGTTTTATTGGCCATTGATTCTTTAAAGAGGATCTGCTTTCCTTGTCCCTCTAACATCCTGTAAGTCCTGTAAGATAGGATTAGGTTTAATTTTCTTTTTTTTTTTTAATGATCCAAAGTGCTGTGAGCAGGAACAAGTTTCCAGTTAACACTCAACATCCAGTTGTTGAATGACAGTTTTGCTGAGTTGGGTGGGTAAGGAAACACCGGTGGTAGATGGCATGGCCTGAGCTTAGGCCCGGAAGCTGACAAGACAGAGTCCATATTCATTTACATTTCCCTCAGCTGAAGGAAGTCTTTATCCGGTGGTCAGTGCAGGTGGTGACATCTGCTGCATCTGTCCAGCCTGCATCCAGAGGCACTCAGCAAGCCTGGCTCTGCACTTTCCGCCCTGGGCATGAGGCCCCTCCATTCTGGGGTGCTGGGTTGTTGCATTCTCTCTTCCTTTCCTGGGTGCCTGCTCTGCAAGCAGACCAGGAGCTCCAGCAGCTCCAGTGACCATCTGCCTTGACTGCTGCACAGATAACATCATGGGGAGGAGGTCACCGTACAAGCAGCAGCTCAGGCAGCAAGGAGGGAGGGCTACCCCACTGACCTAGGGGGCCTGCCACCTCTCCTTAGGGAAATGCTTTGGTGTAGCCAACCAAGACCACTTTACTTGCCGCCTCACACTTAATTTAAAACTCTGAATGGAGTGAGAAGAGGCCACTGGGAGCCCATCTCATGAAATTGGAATCCGCAGGTCCATGGAAGATGGATAGCGGAGTGGGGCGGGCAGGCGTGCTCCTCTGGAAGAATGACACAGAGCCACTGGAGAGTGTGATGAGTGGGGAGCGCAGCCCAGCTGGGGATTCAGAGACAAGGGCCAGCCAGCTACCCTATGGAGAGGACTGCCAGCCTTTAAATAAGGGTTTACAAGTCATACTCTCGGAGCCCTGACTACAGAGACTTATCGGTGACAGAGTCTTTGCAGAGCATCAGAACACACCACCACCACCACCGACTGTCTTTGGAAATCCAGCTTATACAATCCTCCTGCCCTGGGGCTGCTGTCTCCTACTGACTTTGGGCAAGACCATTTCCTCTCTCAACCTTTATAAAATGGAAGAATGTTCTAAACCGACGAGGTTCTGCCATCATTATTTTTTTCATTACTCTTTTTATTCTTAAATGAAATCTTACATGGGCCCCAACATGGAAGTCAAATGAAAGTGGAGCAGTTCTAGTTGAAACTGGGTTGTCTATCAGACTCCCTTTCCTTCCCTGGGGCAGCCTTGAAGCCCCGAGTTTCCTCAGATCCCAGTGTGAGTATCATTGGATTAGATTATCTCCAGGTTCCTTCCAGCTCTGTAATTATACTCCCTGGTGGGGCAGCCACAGCGGGGCTCTCTGTCTCCATTTCTCCTCTCTGTGACTTGGTCCCCACAGGCAAAGGTTTGCTGGGAAAATCTCTAGGTACCTACATCAGTGGTCTCCATGGTGACTGACTAACTCCCGAGCCTCCGATACCCTTGCCAGATCCATCTGTCAAGCTGAAGTTCAGTCTGGTGGCCCCAAGGCCACCTGATTTCCACACACACATCCTTGAAACACATTTAATGGAACACTCACCAGCTGATGCAACCAACAGAAAGTAATCCTGCAGAAGGAATGGGGCTCTGAGGGGAGTACCGAGCCCTATGCACCTGCCACCACCACCCCTCAGATCATTGGCATCATGCCTCCCTCCCCAGTGCCCACCATATGTACACATGACTCAGCATGGCCTCTGAGCCCTGCAGGGACCACTGATGAGGCATGTCTAAGTAGTCCACTCTCCCTGTTCTCTGCCTCTCTGCTGTGTGCACATGGATCCAAGTAAGTCACTAGTTCTGAGGGCTCTTGTATTGCTAATAATTAATTACCAGGCAGGGCTCACATCTCTTCCTTTAAACCAGGTAGGCTGAAATCTGTGAACTAGGACATACCCTTCATCCCCAAATGACCATCACTGCAGTCATCTCAGACCCTCTGCCCTCATTCCCCAAGTTACCTGATTCTTCAAATGTAAACCAGTGGGCTGTAATAGTAAGAGCATAGGGCCTGCTTTCAGATTTCTAGGGTCCAAATCCTGACTGGGACATTCCCCAGCTAGAAGACTTTGAGCAGCGTTTTAACCCATCTCCTGCCCCAGTTTTCTCATCTATAATTTGGGGCTTACAATAGTATTTATCTTAAAAGATTCCTGGGGGAATAAATGAGTTCATTCACATAAGGTTTTATGTCAGTGCCTGGCACAGATTAATAATCCCTTTCTGTGCATTGATCTTTGGTCCCTCAGGCAAAGCTACTTTGTCAGTGGGCAACAGGGAACTGAAACCCAGTCCACACTCTGCTTGGGATATCAAGAAATCCCTGAATCCTGGAGTTTGGATGCTGTCAGCCCCAAGAGGTTTTCTTTGTTTCTCCCAGCTCACCCACCTGTCAGGTGGTACCTTTTCCCAATTCACCTTAGGACACGGTACAAGTTTCAGTCCTGGTAATTGGTCACCTTGGCTTTTATTCTCTGTACCATCCTTCATAAAGACTAAAATTCACTTACCATGTTGGCTCACTCCTCTCAAAATTCCTCCTACAAAGTACCAGACAGCTTGTTGAGACCCAAAATTAACTCCCTTTAGCCAGCAAAGGAAGGATTTTGACAAAGTGACAACCAGAGACAAATCCCTCTACCACTGAAACCACCTCTTCTTCTTGTGTGCTGTAACAGAGCCTGCCATACATGCAGCTGGTTTACTCCTCCCCACACCGGTGAGTCGTGATCATTTCCCCTCTTTACAAGGGATGCCCAGGTGAAAACTGGCAGCCTTGGAATTGAACAGCCTCATTGACAGCAGAGCGAGGCTACCCCTGCTTCTCCCAATGATGAAATTCTAACTCAGTCCCCTGCATCATGTCACTTAAAATCCAGGCCTGATGGGTGGAAATCTCCTTTGAATTCTAAAAATAATTGGTAGCTATGGTTTCTTCTAAGCTAAACTGAATTTTAAAGGTTTTAAGCTTAGAGCTACCAACTGCTATGCTGCCACCCCATCTTGGGGCACAGATTCAGAGACACTTAGAGCAGAAGGGACCTTGAGGCCATCTAACCCAACACCATAGGATGAAAGCATCTTTTGGACAACTTCCTGATTAGTGAGCACCCATCCCCCTCCCTCACTCCCCACACAGCAAGTCCTTCCTCCCTAAGCCAAGAGCCCTTTGCTAGAGCTTCTCTCCTTTAGTCCCACAATCTAACCTCAGTGGTCAGACAGAATCAGTCTCAACCTTTCCATGTGGCACTTCAGGTGGGACTGGTTCCTCTTGAGTCCTCTCTTTGTACCAAAAGTTCTCAGCTTTTCTTCTTAGAACTTAAGTTTGAGTCTTTCCTCTGCCCTCATTTGCCAACTTTGCTTTGCCAAGGCCTACTGAGTTATGGCACCAAGAACAGTCTTGAGAAGACTGTTCTGACTACGTCAGAGAAGACTGTTGCTCTGCATTCTTTACTGCTATTAACATAGCCCTTCACTTTGGGGGCAGCTATACTATGCTGTCGACACCCACTGAGTGAACTGGGACTAAACATGTGATCTATTTTGAATATACAGCTGCTGAGCCTCGTGGCCCCCACCCCAGCTACCCTGTGCTTCCGCTGTTCCCTGGACTCATTCTCGTCCCTTAGATAATCTCATCCAGGCTTCCTTTAAAAAAAAGTTCTTCATTGTAGTTGCCATTGAGATTGATTTATATACATTGATTGGATAGACTATCATTCTTGCCATCATTCCAAAATTTGTATGCATGGAAAATTGGAAGCTTAGAGATAAGGCATGTATAGAGGTTCCTGGAGCTCAAAGGAAACTTTGATGAGAAAGATGAGCCCCAGAAAAGTATCTCACAGTAAATCAGTAGACCTGGGGCTGACCATCCATGTCTCCAGGCTTCCTCATCTTTGAAGGATATGGATTTCCAACCCAGTTTGAGGGCCTTTCTCTCTGAAGCCAGCTGTTTCATGTTGCATCTATAGATGTTTAAAGCTTACCTGCCCTGCACTTGTTTTTAGACATAATTCATTGCACTAGAATGACAACTTATATATCCATATAATGGGTATTCCCCCACTGTGCCACCCCTCAAAATATATTCAGATCCAAACCTCCATTACTTGTGACTGTGACCTTATTTGGAAAAAGGTTGTTATAAATTAAATCAAGTTAAATTGAGGTCATGGTGGATTAATATAGTGACTAGAGTTTTTATAGGAAAGAAAACGTGCAGAGTGGAGAACACCATGTGAGGACAGGCAGAGCCTGGAATGATGTATCTACAAGCCAAGAAGTGCTGGGACTGCCAGCTAACACCCGAAGCCTGGATGGAGGCATAAAACAGTCTCAGAGCCTCCAAAAGAAAACAACCGGACTGATATACCTGAATGTTGGTCTTCTAACTTCCATTAGTGTGAGACAACAAATGACCATTACTTTAATCTTCCAGCTGTGGTAATTACTATGATGGCCCTTAGAAATTAATATGTCCCTTCAGAAATGAATCCCATTATCCAGATACATCTTAGAAAACAACCAGTTCTCATCTGAAAGAGTTTCTGACAACATTGAGAAAACAAAGAACTTTCAAATGCAGGGGGTCAGCCATAAACCTTAGCCTATGGGTTTTTAGAGCAGTGGGGATGAAGGCACAGGAAGGAGAAGCTGGGAACCCCCTAAGGCCCTTTCTGTGCTGGCCAGACTTGAGCACAAGGGAGGAAACATGGGCCTTACCTGTTTGCTCCATTTGCTCACAGGCTTGACCCTGGCGACCCAAGGGGCACTGACACTTGCAGCTAGTGCCATCAAGGATGGGCTTCCCATTGTTGAGGCAAGGCCCACAGCGGCAGGCATTGAATTCCATCAGGTACTGGTCCAAGGCCTGGCGCAGGTTCTGGCGTTTGGTCTCCAGGGGCCCCAGGCTCGTGTGCCGCAGCAGCTCGTGGATGGGCTGCATCTGTGGGCACAAAAGAACAGAGGGTCTTCCTTGCAGGTCTGGGCATCTCAGCTTCCCAGGGGAGACCCAAGAACTGGTTTTCTAGCTTCTGGAAGGCCCTCTATGCACCAGGCACAGAGCCCAACATTCAGCTATCTCCCCTTCCCCTGGATCCTCAAAGCACTGTGAGGCAGGTGCTAACTTCCCCAACTCATGGCTCAGAGCCACCAGCTCAGGGTAAATCAAGGGCAGGAACCACTCTGATGTGGACCTACCTAACTCTGAAACTTGTGTTCTCCCAATCCCAGAGGATGATGAGAAATCAGAAGCCAACTATGCCAGCTCATCTGCCTTCTTTAGCACTTTCAGGAAGTAGGGAGAGTGCAAACTGTATGCATGTGTGTTTGTGTGTGTGTTGTCAAGCCTTTTATTAAGGAATTAATAAAGTCCTTGATAGGCAGTGACTGTGCTGTTGCTGAGTGATTCCCTGATGGTATAAATGGTGTCAGTGTGTTGATTGTGTGTGTATGTGTGTGGGGCAGCGGGGGAGGAGGAGTCTTTATATTTGACACAACCATTCCAGATAAGGAGTCCAGGCCTTCTCAACCTTTTCAGCTGCAAAATTCTTTGTGGGCAGGGCTGGGCTGTCCTGTGCATTGTAGGATTTTTAACAGCTCCTTACTCCCCACTTAACCCCAGTAGTACCTTCTAGTCTGAAGGATCAAAACTGTCTCCTGATATTGCCAAATGTCCATTGGGGGGGCAAAGTCACCCCCAGCTAGAAATAGTATATACAGTCAAGAGCCTTGAAGCTGGAGCCTGGAATTCTAACTTCAGATCCATGCTTTACTAACTTCTAATCATGTGATCTCATGTTGTACATGGAGCCTCCCTTTCTGCTCTGTAAAGTGGGAACAACAGCCCTGCCTCCGGGTTTATTATGAGGATTAAAGTTGATGGATGGGAAAGACCTGTCACATAGAAAGAGTTAAATAAATACTGCTCACTTCCCAGGTCTGTGTCCTAGAGCTCCTAACTGTCCCCCTCTAAATCTGGACCTTGTTATCTACAAAATGGGAATCCCAACCTGCTTCCTGGAATTCTTATGAGAATCGAAAGAAGTAATGAGTATGAGATACCCTTGCAAAAGGGAAGACCACCACAAAATAAAGAACCATTTTCATTTGTTAGATGCGATGATAGTTTTTTAAAAAAAAAAAAAAAAACTAACTTTTTCAAATGCATATGGTGCATGGGCATCTTCAGCATGCACATAATGCAATCAATCTTAATACAATCACGACATGAAAGCTCTGCTCCAAACCTCTCATTCTGCAGGAGAGTAACCTGAGGCCCTGAGGGGGCAGTGATGTGCCAAGGTCACAGGGCAATGCAGGCATAGGACCAAGGCACAGTGGTACAATCTCACTGTTCTACAGTCTAAAGTCAATAGAGGTAATCACCATCACCTTGGATGGGTTCCTGGAAACATGTACAGAAAGACTGGTGATAAACAGACCTTGGCCTGTGGTCAGAGCCTGCAGCTGAGGTCACCAGGCTTGTCACGTCAGGACTGGCCAGGCCCCCAGCCAAGGGGAGAAGACCATTTACTGGAAGTTCAGGGAATCTGGCCTTGTTGTTAGGAAGTCAGTGCAGAAAAGATTGCTCTTGGCCCTGGCTAAAGGTGGCTGTTAGCTCCAGGGGAGGCCAGGACCACTGGGAAACTTTCTTTTGACTTTCCAACTGGGCAAAGCACTCATTCCCGCATCTCATTTCTCCCTGCTAGGACTTTCAGGAAAAAGAAAGAGAAATGCCTTGGGGAGGGCTGGTGGGAACTTGAAGGAAGGGTGGGAGGTGGAGAAAAAACATCTTAGAATGTTAGAGCTTGAAAAGATTGGCAATAGTCTTGTTTCACTTTACAGAGGAGAGAAGAGATTCAGGGAAGGCAAGTGGTGTGGTATAGCCACAGATTGTGATGGCCAACACATGGTAACATATGACACAGCAGAGCATTAGAACAGAATTCCTGTGATTTCTATATACACTCCAAGTACCTGTGACATGCAGATGAATAAGACACTGTTGCCATTGTCAGCATCAGGCTCCGAATAAATTCTCAACTGACCTCCTTGTCCATAGTGTCTGTCTCTCCTTTGAATCACCCTTCATGTCTTTTTGACATTCTCTTTTTAAAGCACAACTCTGGTTGTGTCACTTCCCTACTCTCAAAATTTCAGTGGATTAATGCACAGAATCCTAACTTCTTGGGGAACATGGGTTGTGACGAGATTGTGTGCGTTGGGTGAGTCAGACACGGCTCATGCTGGGCCCTGCCCTGCACCAGCTGGTTACTTAACCTCCATGAAGCAGAACCTCTCTAGCTGATCTTTACTGCACCCCCACTTCTCTCTTCCCAACCTTATGATGTAACATTTTATTATCTTTGTGTAATAGACCAGGAAACTGGGGTTCAGAAAATCAACTTGTTCAAGGTCACGCATAAAAAGGTGGCTGAGCCTTTTTCATCAAACTCTATCTTTTCACCCCAACACCCAGTTTCTTTCACCCAAAACGAACTTTAGTCTTCTGGAAATCATGTTCTCCAGCCTTCCCCTTGGAAGTTTTGCTCAAGACAAACACAAAGTTCATCTCTTATCCATTAAAATTTATCCATTGCTCTTGATATCAGTTTTATAGGTTTAGCCCAAATCACTGATAACTCGATGATAGTGATTTTCAGACCCTCTGTGAATTACAGGTATATAAAAATCAAGGTTAATTTGTCTGATTGCTTTGTCATAAAGAACTGCATGTTACCACAGTCCTTTGGGTTTCACTGCTGGTACAATTTTCAGAGGAAGCATATATATCCTGGGATTTTAAATATATGTAGAAAAATCAGCAAGGGTCAAAGGAAAACGGGCAAGAAAACAGTATTTTCTTCCGTAGCCCCAAATGTAACATCTGTTTATGGCCTATCCAGGTATTAATCACAGTAGGTTGACAGCTTATAGACAGTCAACTTCCTCTGTGGCTTAAATACAATTTTACTCCCTCTGTTCAACTAAGGATGTAAGGCATCGTTTTCAACTTCAACCCTATAGACATTTTAGGGCCAGGCATTTCTTTGTTTAAAAAAAAAAAAAGCAGAGGAGGAGGAAAATAACCATAAAGGTAGAGAGAGGAAAGAACTTACATGAAAGAGACTATATGTCACACACGAAACCTCAAACACTTATTATTTGGTTCTTTACCAAAAAATGTTTGCCAGCCCCTAAATGAAGAGATATGATTCTTAAAATCTTCTTACGTATAAATGCAAGCTATTATTTTAACGGGGACTATCCCCTGAAGAATTGTGGGAATTCTAGCGTACAACCAGGCATAGACCACAAAATAAGTTTCTGATCCTTGTGCTCTTGTGACCTGGGTTGAAAGGCGTACACCTTTGTTGTCAGGCATGGAGAAGGCCACCAGTTCAGTGTGCTGTTACATTTAATCTTGTTCTCTGATGGGCTCATAATAAGAAATATGAAATGATCTGGTCTGCTTCACTTTCATTCCTTGTGGACGTGGAGTTTCTTCAACTGCGAAAAGACTTACCTCAAAATCAATAACAACAGGATTATGCTTTAATGACCTCCCCCAGGAACGGTATGTGATGATGATGCTGTTCTGTGTCAAGCCACCGCCCCAGCGAGAACTGCCACCTTTTACCCGGGAGATGATGTCTTTCACAGCTGCATTCCTCTTGCGTGGGTCTGCCAAAAGGATAACTGCATTAACTCATTTCCCCAAAAGTCACAGAATGGGTTGGTGAGCACCATTAATGAGATTTGAGACAGAGTTTTGATGTGCTCTCCTTAGAGATGTCTCTCACTCTGCCTTGCTTAGTCCACTATCAGGAAGGACCAAGTCTGATGAATAGACCCATCCTCAGGATAAGGAAGACACTGGGGGGACAACTCAGTCCAACAGGAAGTAAGGAAATGTTGGGAAAACAGATGTTTTGTTCATTCACTCATATGCTAAATGTTTACTTAGTACTCTTTACATGCCAAGTAGGCGGAATGAAATTAAATAGGTGCTGTGATACATGTCTCTTTGGGGCTCAGTTGGGGCATGGGGAAAGATGTGGTCAAATTTTTAGAATGGATCAGGGGTGGTCAGGAAGAAAAATGACTAGGAAGGTTAACTGGTTTGCAGGTTTATGGATACAGGAGGGGAAAGTATCAGAGACAAGAAATTTGACTTAAAGTCATGAGGCTAAGTAGCCTAATGCGATCAGAATAACTTGAACCCATTTCATATCTACTGTATCCACTGTACTATAAACTGTTTTATCATCCCTCTGTCTATTATGTTGCCCTCTGAAAAAATATTGCTCCATACATGTCTGATGAATGAATGAATGGATGAATGCATGAATATTCATATTGACTTGCCCAGGAAATGTCATAAAATATTCTTATACAATTTTTCTCAAGTAATTATTCTTTGAGCTTGGGCTTGATAACCATGCTCAACCCTCTCAACAGACTTGTTTCTTCCCTTGGGACTGGAACCTGATAGGCCTTCATCCCAAAAGTGGACTTTTCAGATTCTGTCTACACATTCCTTTCATCCAGTACTTACTTAGATCTTGATGTATTGCTTAAAATCTAAGGGAGTGCACCATACACAGTCAAATATTTCTAAGGTGATCTCAGCCCATGGTGGATTCAAAAGTGAGCCTTTACGGGGCATTGCTTTGGGGTATTTAGCAATTATACAGTGTTACCATTGACTGAAATGGAGTCAATTGGGGGCAAAATAGTGTGTATGCCCCACATAGGGCATTTCTATGCCCTACATAGAAGTCTAGCTTTTCTTTTTGGGTGAACCATTACTAAATACTTGCCAGAACTGTCACCTCCAAACTCGCTACAAGTTTTCCCTGATAATCCTACTTTAATTTCTGTATTATTCTTGACAAAGTTAACACCTAGATGTCCTCCAAAGCACTTCTGGATGTCTTCGCTGGTAATACCTACAGTGGGGAGAGAGAGAAAATAGAAAATGCTGAGATGCTAAAAGATAGTTAATATGGTACAATCAGCTCACAGTAGTCTTGGGAGTCTAAGAGATCTCAATCAAAATCGTAGTTTTTTAACCCAATTTCAGTATTTTCTTTATGGTTCCCACACAATTCTTGAAGTGAGAAGGGATTGCACATACTAGTTGCTTGTAAATGCTAGTCGCCTTCCCTCTGCAGGTTCTCCAGTGAATCTCCTTTAGATAATGATTCCATCTTATCCATCTCCATATACCCTTGTGCCTAGCACAGCCCCTGAACCATGCTCAACACTATTTTCACCCTGCAGTTTGGCATACACTGCCTGCTCTTCAGTCTAGATGCCTTCCCTTTATCCATTTTGACTGTGTTTCCAGAGCCCAGCATAGAGCCAATCCAAATGTCATTTATTCCATGAAGCATTTTTGGATCAGAACACTTCTCTCTTTCTTCAGAGTTGCCGATGTGCTTTGTTTATCCCCAATAACTGTATTTGTCACAGTTCTTTTTTGCCCCAGTGCTCTTTGCACCTCAAAGAGGCCAGAGTTGTGTTAGAACATGAATGGATTTCCCTGCAATAGTCCCCTGCTTTCTGACATCATGAGGACTGTTTGTCCCACATCAGCTCTCTGTCCACCTACAACTGAGGACCCAGAGAGGACTATGCACTTTGATGATGAGAAACATAATTCTCAAAATAATAAGGTCATTTTTTCTTAATTCCATTGCTTGTTATTGAACAGAACCAAGTTTCAGCCCTTGGTCTGTCTGGCAAGATGAGGCAGGAACGCAGACTGGAACAAGATATCTAATATGCTGCAGAGTTACCTTTATCTGTAGATAAGAAATTCTGAAAGTTGTAAACTGGAGTCTGCATTTTCTAAATATCATTACTTTTAATTGCAAGTGCATAATAATTATCACCAATAATTATCTGTTTCCAGCACCATCAAAAAAGGAAAACCAACTTACACCTCTAATTCAACTGCACTGAGGATTAGATTCAATAATTTCAAGGGAGTACTGAGCAACAAAATTTGCTTGCCTACATCTTCATTAAATTGCAAACTCTATGAGGTCAAGGGCTTGTGTCTTATCTGCCCTCTCTCATCAGCATAGCTATACAATGTCTACCTCAGAGGAGGTATTCTTTATTTTTTTTTTTTTTCAGAATAAAGGATTGATGAATGGAAAAAATGAGTGAATAAGCGAGTGTCATGAGTCCCTTGGTAAAGGCTTCTGAAGGAAAGAATCTCAGAGGTCAGGAATCCTGAATTCAAATCCCAGTTCCTTGGATGACTTGATAAAGAAATGAAGATACACTCACATGAATGCATGTACGTGGGTGTGCATTATTCAGCCACTTGCCACATTATGGATAAAGTTGAAATACATTATGCTAAGTGCAGTAAGCCAGACACACACACAAATCTACATATTCACTTGTATGTCAAGCATGTAGAAGAGAGGTAGGAAAATGGGGTAAGGCTGATCAAAGGGAGCAAAGATGCAGTTTTGTAGGATAAATAAGCATAGAGGTCTAAAGTACACTCTGATGACTAGTTAATGATGCTGAATTGAATATGGAAATTTACAAAGAGTAGATTTTGGTGCTCATCCCAAAAAGATAAATGCTAACTATGTGAGAAGAAGATCCGTGAATTAGTTGACTGTAGTAATCATTTCACTTGGTGGATTTGTATCAAATCATCATGGAGTACACCTTAAATATAGACAAATCTAAGCTTAAAAGAAAGTAAAACAAAGCAAAGCAAATCCCGGACACTGACACCCAGGATGGGCTTCAAAAAGGCCTGTGATCCCACCGGGCTCAGTTTCCCATTTATGGAGAGAAGGGGTTGGACTTGCCTCAAGGACCCCAGCCCAGCACCCTGTGACCATGCAGGTGTCTGGATGAGACCTGAGCTCAGACAGGATACTCCAAGCACTGCGCTCAGCACTGAGCAAGGCTGCTTCTGACACTTCTGTTCAAGCACTTGTCATTTTTAATGCATTTCTAATTAAGGAAGGTTTAGCATATTTAATTGTTTTGATTAAAAAATGCTTCAACAGTGATAAACAAAAGTGGATGAAAGGAATTCATGGGCAGAAGCCAGAGTGATTACTTAGGTGAGTGGTGGGGTGCTTGTGGAATAAAATGACAGGACTGGCTAATGAATGGGGTGGAGGGTGCCTTGCAGTGATTATGCTCAGGGAGTGTCTGATGATGGTCTGCCACGTGCCAACAGAAGAGAATTCCAGTTTGATTTGAACAGCATGACTCAAGGCAAAGAACTGCTTTCTGAGGACTGGAAATAGAGTACCAGCCAGCAAGGGAAGTCTGTGATTTACAAAGGATCATGGAGCATGAGACCTAACGGTATCCTCAGACACCAAGCCCATGCTATTTCATATTACTTGAGATATGTGTGGTCTATAAAGGTTGATGACCTGAGGCCACATAGTTAAAGCACGGTGGAACTGAGATTCCAACTCAAGTCTGCCTTGCTTAGAAGCCTGTGGTATTTTTCACTACTTCGTGTTATTGCATCAGACCAAAGAATTCTGCTATCACAGAGAACAGTTTAGTAAGCACCTACTATGGCTCATCCCCAGGACATCAATATTGGACAACGTAGACACCATAAGAATAAAATAGGAATATGATGCAAATCTGAATAAGTAGGGTCTGATCCCTGAGAAGCTAAATGCTTTGGGACCATCTATTAAATGAAGACTGATTTGTATCCTGAGAGTTGCTTGTTTCAATATAGTGGGACTAGAAGAGTAGTCTCTGGCTAGAAGCTTTGGGAGATACCAAATCAGGACTGTCTATAGATAGCCCGTTAGAAACCAAGACTGGTAAACTGGGTGGGGACACAAGAGGTCAACCCTAGTGCCAAAATCCAGGACTTTTAACTGATATTGGAAACCCAGCCACACCAAACCGGAAAGACACAAGCAAAAAGCAGAGAGGCGCAGGAGCTGGGACAGGTCAGAGCAATAGTGTCACACTTGCCCAGATGGGTGTGTGGCAAGGGTACACTGACGGGACCATGTTCTACCTGCTCCTCCCTGGCCCTTCAGGCTGGTCTCCTTAGCTGTCAGCTTCAGACCAAATCATAACAGAGTTTGTTTTGGGCTTTTGAACTCAGTGAACTTTAAAGTTGATGGTTCCCAAACCTGGCTGCACAGTGATAGCATCTGGTATGTGCATGAAAAATACAGGTTACTGGACCCTACTTCTCTCAGTTCTGATTCTGTATTTCTGAGTTAACAGCAAACTGAATTTTAAATATGTATCCCAGATGATTCCTACACAGTGCATCTTGGGCCAGATGTTGAGTACCATGGCCTACGGAGAATTTCTGGAGCCCGCTGCAGAACCCTCCTCCCTCATCTCAGTCAGTGTCTTTGATGCAGGTTTAGTAATCAGGCTTGTCTTATCTGCCCAGGTGTAGGGTAAATGAGCTAATGAGGCTTTTTACGCCACTAGCCTCTGGGACTATCACCTTTTTTTTTTTAATTTTTTTTATTTTTATATTCCCCATACAATTGTGACCCCCTTATTTTGATCCCAATCCCTCCCCTCCCCGCCCCCCCCCCCCCCCATGGAGTGTCTCTGGTCCATAGTTGTTTGTTGATTTTGATTTTCACTTTCTTATATTCTTTTTCCTGGTCCCTTATTTAAGTTTTCTAGATTCCTGCTATGAGTGAGACCATCCGGTATTTTTCTTTTTCTTTCTGGCTTATTTCGCTGAGCATGATCCCCTCCAGCACCATCCATGTTGCTGCAAATTGCATGAGTTTATCTTTTTTGATTGCTGAGTAATATTCCGTTGTATATAGCTGTACCACATCTTCTTGATCCAGTCATCTATTTTTGGGCATTTGGGTTGTTTCCAAAGCTTAGCTATTGTAAACAGTGCTGCTATTGTGTTAACACAAAAGGCATGCGTGGGTGGGGCATGCGTGCCTGATTGTGGACACCTGGACCATGGGTGCATGTGCATGTGCAAGTGTGCACATCTGTGCCTAGGAGGGAGGGGATAAAAAGGCGGCATCACCTTGGGGGAGGCAGCTCAAGTTGCTGTCTCCCTGCTGGCTAGTTTCCCCTGCGTGCTATGAAAACCTGTGAAGATGATGCCAAGGCTCCAAAGTTCTCTTTTAAACTGTTAGAACCAATGGTGAACCTACCTAGCCTGGGCTGGTTGCAAAACACAGAATAGGGAAAGCCAATGATAATGCAGATAAAGAATCAGGATGCCAGCAGCTTTTAGGACTAGATAGACTAGGCATAGCAAAATGAGACTCAGTTGGGAAAGCTGTAATATCCTACTTGGGGAGGCAGGAGCTCACTAAGAAATGGACACACGTCAGCAGGAGAACATGAGAAAAGGTTGTAAAGGAGGGGGTAACCTCACCCTCCTGTGCACAGGTTAGAGGAACCCAGAACCTGGTGCAAAGTTTGAGGAGTCACACTTTTAAAAGGAAATAATAAGACATTCATTGGACATTATTCAGCCTTAAGGAAAATAAAAAAGGAAATCCTGCTACATGCAACAACATGTTTGAACCTTGAAGATGAAGACTTTTGCTAGTGAAATTAATCAGTCCCAGAGGATAAATACTACATGATTCCACGTGTGTGAGGTATTTAAAATTGTCAAGCTCATAGAATCCTAGAGTAGAATTGCAGTGGCCAGAGGTTGGGGAGAGGGGAGATCAAGAGTTGCTTATCAGTGAGCATAATGTCTCAATTAGACAAGATAAGTAAGTTCCAGAAATCTGTATCTATTGTCCCTATAGTTCTGAATACTGTATAGCAAGTACACTCAAAAAAAATTAAAAAGGTATATTGCATGTTAAATGTTCTTACCACAATAAAATAAAATAAAATAAATAGGGAATGATCTGAGAAAAATAAGCATGAGGGTAAAAGAGAGTCAAAGCTGTATCCTCTTGGGAATGTCCCA